AGACATTAAACAGTATATTGTATGTACAGATGTGCTATAGACTAATTATGCAAGGGAATGTGGATAGATGTAAGATATATTAAATCAATAACATACATGTAATAAATATAAGGATAGATAGTTGGGTATTTCACATGTTTTATTGCACAGAGAACATTTAACTGTTCATGAGGTAGATGGCCTGAGGGAAGAAACTTCTCCTATGTCTGGTCGTTCTGGTGCTCAGTGTTCTGTAGCGCCGGCCAGACGGCAACAGTTCAAAGATGAAGTGTGCTGGGTGTGAGGGGTCCAGAGTGATTTTGCCAGCTCTTTTGCTCACTCTGAGTGCAGTTCTTGGAGAGTGGGGACGTTTTGTCACAAATAATTCGCCCAGCAGTCCGGACTATCCGCTGAAGTCTTCTGAGGTCAGATTTGGTAGCTGAGCTGAACCAGACAGTTATAGAAGTGCAAAGGACGGATTCAATGATGGCGGAGTAGAACTGTTTCAGAAGCTCCTGTGCCAGGTTGAACTTCCTCAGTTGACGAAGGAAATACAACCTCTGCTGTGCCTTTTTCACAATGAAGTCAATGTGAATGTCTCACTTCAAGTCCTGAGAGATGGTGGTTCACATGGTGCCCAGGAATCTGAATGACTCCACTGTTGCTACAGTGCTTAATGTGTAAAACGGTGACATTGGAGGACCAAATTCAGTATTAATAATTACTATTAATACTACTAACACTATTAATATTAATAACCTTAATAATAATTTTACTATTAGTAAAATACTATTTACAGACAAGCACAATAGCCGAGAATATGAATGCAAAACGCTAATGCACGTTAAGCTTTTTCTCCCCATAGAAAACAGTTATGGACGAATGGAGAAAACACTAAAAAGGCTAATGGACAAAGATGGTGATATAAAAAGACCAAATGTGGTATACAGTTTATTAAAAAAATATATTACACACAGGAAAGCAGATGAGCCCAGAATATGAACCCAATGCGCAAAGTTTCACATGTTTTCTTCCCCGTAGAAAAAAAAAAACATTATAAAGAAAACTCTTAACGTGGCTTTTCTATGGGGGAGAAAACGTTTAACGTGTAGTTCAGCTCATATTCTGGGCTCATCTGCCTGCATGTTCACAGTAGCCTATATATATATATATATATATATTATAATTTCTGTAGCATAGCCTATTTGGTCTTTTTCATCACCGTCTTCATTAAGCCACATTAAGTGTTTTCTTTAGAATGGCTTCTATGGGAGGAAAACGCTTAACGTGCAAATTAGCACTTTCTCTTCATATTCTGGGCTCGTCTGCTTTCCCGTATTACTAAACTGTATAGCCTACCAAATTCTGCCTTTTTATACCACTGTCTTAGTATTAATTAAGCATCTTTCTATGGGGGAGCATGCAATTTAGCACATTACGTTCATATTCTGGCTCATATTCTGCTTGTCTGTTAATAGTATGCTTTACTGGATTTGGTCCTCCACTGTCACTGTTTTAGTACATGAAGCCACATTAAGCGTTTCAGAATGTCCCAAAACCGTGCCTTGAACTACCGACTGTATTTCCTTATACTTGAGTCCAAGTTCAAAATAAAACTCTATGAACCGCTCCACTGTGAATGTATGGAGCTGTATGGACCACAGCAACCTGTAAAGTAAACAGGAAGTGTTTGTCCGAACTCAACAGGTTTTGCGAGAGAACGCAAATATATTTGCAAGCGAACGCAATGTTTCTCGGGGGAACGCAAGAGATTTGAAAAAGATTTTTTCCTCCCACATCGTATTTTTTCTCACCAACATGTCCCTTTAAGGGTTCTGTAGTATACCTACAGTTAGGGTGATATTAAATGGCTTAACCCGTGATTTAAGATTTTAGCCATATTGCCCATCTAAGTCATTCATCCCACTATCAACAGGAGCTTCATGTAGGCTTTCTTGTATTTGGTTTGAGACCAGAAGGTGTCACTGTGGCCTCAAAGCTTACAACTCACCTAGTCTGGCTCGATTACTATTCCTGAGGTATAGAACGCCCTACACATTACCCTACGGACAAAGAAATGTAGAAATAAAGAAATTTGAAAATAAATAATTGTAGAAATAAATACAAGAATAAATAAATAAATGTGGAAATAAATAAATATGTAAATAAATACAGAAATGTGGAAGTAAATAAATGTATAAATAAATAAAATAAAAAATGTGGAAAAAAATACACATAAATAAGGAAATAAAATATATATTTTTTTCTTTTTTGTATATTTCTATATTTATGTATTTGTTTATTTTTGCTTTTTTACATTTCTTTGTATATTTATTTATATGTGTATTTATTTCTCATTTTGTCAGGTTTGGCATTTCATAGATGAGTATCCTAGCAGAGGATACACGTTGGCCACATGTTACGTCAATTCACTTCACTGAATGATTCATTCATGAATTGTATTGAGTGGATTGCAGCTGTTCTCAAGTAAACAACTCACTGATTCAAATTATCCAGTCAGAGTGAGTCAATTCAGTGAATTCACAAGTCTGCCTCAAAATGAGCCAAGAACAGGCGCACGACTGATTGTGCGAAAAGTAAATAAGTCCAATTTTTTTAGACTAGCAGAGGATACACGTTGGCCACATGTCACGTCAATTCACTTCACTGAATGATTCATTCATGAATTGTATTGAGTGGATTGCAGCTGTTCTCAAGTAAACAACTCATTGATTCAAATTATCCAGTCAGAGTGAGTCAATTCAGTGAATTCACAAGTCTGCCTCAAAATGAGCCAAGAACAGGCGCACGACTGATTGTGCGAAAAGTAAATAAGTCCAATTTTTTTAGACCTTGTTGGAGCATTTTATTTTTTGCATTCATATTTGACCTCAACATGTATAAATACCCTGGTAGGAAACCACTGATTTAGTCTATGATGCCCAGTTTTTGTCTGTAACCATTAACTAAGTCGGCAAGTGTATGACGCCTTGTGTTTAAGAATCTGTTCAGATTTTAAAAGTCGGATAGTGTATTTCAGACTTTTAACACTGCGTCTACACTGGACGGGACTGCCACAATTTGAGGCTTTCTATGCTGAATGCATCAAATGAAAGTTCAGAATACATTTGTATATTTCGCTGAATGTGGTTTATTCATCTCTGAATATGGTTTCGGTGATCACAATGTGTCCTGTGTTCACTTAAATCTGTTTTAATGTGATCAAGTGCTATCTGATTGTGACCCACTCAATGAAAACACACGTTAATGTAAAAAAACGTGTAAATAAAAGTGACTGCAATTATTACAAACCATCCCCCAACACTAAGTACTGTAGTATAGGCATTGTACAAGTACTACAAAAATGGTTGTGGACATAGAGGAATAGACAGATGAGATGATTGTGAGATGATTGTGGACTGTTAAACAAAACATGTATACAACTTTAAAGAAATACACATGTATTTTCCTTACCAGTAATTGAGATGAATGTGTTAGCAGGTGTGTCTGGAAGCCGATCAGCTGGTATGTCAGCTTTAAGAAGTATAGGTTTTTCCTCTGATCGAGAAATTAAGAAGAACATGAAGATGAAGAAAGAGTCATGAGTCATAAGCTGATCACATTTTGTACAGCAACAATGCACAAGTGAGCAATAATGCATAATTTGCTGAAAGTATAATGTGTGTAATGTTGTATAGTGGAAGTGTAACAGAGTGATGTTATTGTGTGCTTCACAGTAAATCTCACCATTCTTAGCAGGATTGAGCTCCACATTTTCTCTTTGTAATGAAATCAGCACACCCTCAGACTGAAAGAGAGAGAGAGACTGTTAACTACCCATGATGCTCTAGTTTATCTATTTAAACTATGACAAACATCTGTTGATCATTACATTAACAAATAACCAAATCAAATAAAACAAATGCCACAAGTGACAATCACTGATTCCCATCAGACGTACCACCACCTTCAGCGGCTTTCTCACTCCATCAGAGAAATCAAATGCTGCAGCTTTCACCTCAATATCATGATTTCCCAGCGTCATGGGAATAATCACATATGAAACAGCTATGCTGGAGCCTTTGTCAACAGATACTGTTGTTCTGTATTTGCCTTTCTTACTGGCAGAGCTGCAAACATCTTCTGTCTCCATGAACTCCACACGCACCTGGATACAACAGGAGAATGAGACTCAAACTGCTTCAATATCCAGAGGAAACTTCCTCCCAAGTAAAAAGCATTTGATTTGAATATGAAATGCGCAATGAAGGAGGATATTTGTATTTTAGCACTGGACAATAGACTACACTTTTCTTCAGTTTTAGTCATAATCAGAATCCATATATGTTGTCATTAGCAAATTATTTGACTCAAGCATTAATGGTTACTATGATGCAAATGGTTGTAATGTATACTAACATTTCTGAATGCATTTTTTTAATATTAAATCAGATCTACCTTCTTCAGATTCATTGGGGTGAAGTTGTGAATAATGGCCTTGATTTCCAGTTGTTCACCACGCACAGCTGAGTAAGGTATCTTTAGGTCAATGAAAAAGCTCTTAAAAACGACCATCTCCTCAGGTTCTGCCACACAGATGCCTTTGAGGAAGAACACAGACACACAGAAGGATTTAAAGCAGCAGCTCCTGGATGATAATAATAATAAGTTTAATTTCCCAAGCTCAAGGACACTGCACAATGACAGAAGCAAATACATTCCTACATACATGGACAAGACATTTTCCAAGTCCAGAACATGTGGTTGCAGTTGCATACCACAGTAATAATACAGTATTATAGAGAGGAAAAAAAATATTATACCAGGTAACATTAACATGACATTATAACAGGTAATATTGGTGGAACATATAGGTTTTGAGTTTAGACTTAAATTCGTGGAGTGTGGTTATTGTCCGGAGAGCCAGGGGCAATGTGTTCCAAAGTTTGGGAGCCATAGCAGAGAAAGATCTACCTCCCATAGATAATAGGCGAAATCTCGGAACACAAAGTTCAACTCCAGATGATCGAAGTGGACGAGAGGGAATATATGGAGAAAGCAGGTCAGAGAGATAGGTAGGTGCAAGACCATGGAGTGACTTAAAGGTAAGCAGAAGAATTTTATAAATGATACGAGAGGACACAGGTAGCCAGTGGAGGTTGAATAGAATAGGAGTGATATGTGCAGACCGTTTAGTGTAAGTTAGCATTCTCGCTGCAGAATTTTGAATATATCGCAATTGAGAGATGGAGCGTACTGGTAATCCAGAAAAAAGAGCGTTGCAGTAATCAAGGCGAGATGTGATTAAAGCATTTACTAGTAATTCAGCATCTTTTGGACTGATGAAGGAACGGAGTTTGGCATGATGATGATGATGATGTTTTTCAGAGCATGTATTCTGGGTTTGCAGCTTCTCCTTACCAAGTGTTGGTGACAGACTGACAGCCAAGATCTGCCAGGTAGTGATAGAGTCTTTCAGGTACATCACTTTTTCTTTGTCTGTACTGTAAAAAAAAAAAAAACCTTTTTGAGTTATTATTTTACATTGACTCAGTTAAGTTGTAATATACTTAGAATATGAAGTATTTTCAACATGACAAATTTAAAGTTAATCAAACTTTTAAATTTATGAAAGTAAAGTGAACTTGATTTTTTAAGTGACAGTTTTTTAAGTGTTAAATTCACCTAATTTGGCGTATTTTCTTAGGTCAGCCAATTAAATAATTATTTAATTAAATTTATTATTTTATTTCAATTGTAAATAATTATTTTATTTCAAATGCTTCAGTCATGTTTTGGTTGACAGCCTCTTCCATTCACATTTAAATTAATTTCTGCTGCAAATAATAACTGATCTGATGTCAGCTATTGAAACAAGAAATAAGCCAAATAATGCTGTTCATTTGCTGCGAGTCACTAGGGGTGTGAATGGAACTCAACGCAACTCATGTCTAAAAGTCTCCTACTCACCATGTGTCACATAGCTCAAACTCATCCCAAAACCAACTCTCAGGGAACTGTGTACGTGACACGATCTCTTCAGAGTCTGTATAATACATTTCATCATCATCTTCGCCTGTTATAAAATAAAAAATTTAAAAAAATAAAAAATGTGAGAGAATTGACCTTTTAGTGCAGGGGTGTCAAACTCAATTCCTGGAGGGCCGGAGCCCTGCAGAGTTTAGATTAAACCCTAATTAAACACACCTGGGCCCTGTTTCAATAAGGAGGTTCAACCAACTCTGAGTTAAAACTTGAAATCTGAGTTGACTAAAGCCGGGCTCACACTGTGCGATTTTTTAAAAGTCCTTTAGGATTGTACTTGTCAGACTGTAAGAACATGATGATCATGTCACACTGTGGGATCTCAGTTGTCATTAATGTCAGACTGTACGACAGTCAAGACGCGTTAAAAACGGGTGCGCGCAAGAAAACTTGTCCGGAGTTCTACATTATCAACCTATACACGTTCAGTGACTGCGAGCTGCATTGCACGCGGGGCTGTAATGTTGGCTATCATTAAAAGTATATGAATGGCGGCAATACCGGTGTATTTAAGAAGAATAGAGTAAGCAGCACTACACACCCACATGAAAACAGCAGCGCAACTGGTGTTTATCATAATAAAGGCAAAGTATAATTTGAATTCCGTGAGCGGAGGACGAAAGCGCCGGAGTTTATGCGGTTGGAAGAAATCTCTAGCATTAATTCTGATCATGGCTTGTCTTGAGAAACAAAGCCAGATTGACGTTCGTCGTAGGAGAAGTCACACTGCAGGACTGTGCGCCAAATCTTCTGACACTGCCAGAAGTTCGTTGGAGGTAAAATTTGATCGCAACGGCCATTAACCGGCTGTCGGTGAACATGTCAAACTAACGATCAAAGACTACAGATTTTAGACTAGGATTATAGGAATCTTTTAGGATTTTCAAAATGTGTCTCAGATGACCAAATCGTGGCACACTGTGCGATTTTGGCCACGATTTGGTCATCAGCTGAATCAATGCAAAGTCCAAAAATGATACACATAGACAACAGGATTTTCTGAGGACACACACTAAGTTGAGTCAAATATCAGCCACAGAGATCGCTACAACTGAGAAAAAAATAAAATATATAACATTTCAACTGCACAGCTATGTCATCAATCAAATTTATATTCATAATAAAAAATTGTATTCATCTTCATTATCCAATGACTAGCCTATCTACTTTTACTATAACCACAGTTACTACTTTAGTAATTATGGCTCTGTGCCAGCCAAAGCAGCTCTACTGCTGGGAACAACTATACTCTGAACTTTGGTTTTAGAGGGTATAAAGTATTTCCATGTCAGCGGGCTCAAGTCAAGTCATGAGTCGTTGTTGTCAAAGTCTAAGTCAAGTCACAAATCTTCTTCAATTGTGTCGAGTCACAAATCATCAAATTTGGGACTCAAGTCCAAGTCATGCGACTTGAGTCTTCAACCCTGTTCACCCAGTGCTGTATAAGCAACATAGTGAAATAGAACCTCTGGAATCTCTTCATCAGACAGCATCTTAAAATGTAAAACACATGCCACCTATGGAATAGAACAACGGCTACTGTCCCATAATGGACATAAAAAACAAACTGCAAAAGCAGCTCCCTGATGGACTGAGTTCAGTGGTCTGGGTGTCGTCGTCCTGCTATTCTACCATGTGATATAATTAAGATATTTTGACAATATATTTACTCCGAGCCAGAATCATCTCCTCCTCTTCGGTCTTCAAGTTCTTGCTGGTTTTCATTTTGTTGCAGCAGTCCAGGAAGGCCTTGACACACTCTGCCCCATCGACGATGTACGTGGCTCTTCGTTCACATGTGTAGCCTAGTTTATTATTCCGCATTCCATCAAAACAGCACTGCTTCAGTTCACCAGAGTATTGACCAGCTGAGAAGACAATGAGGGAAGTAGGAGAATGTGGTGAGAATTACTGGCGGAAAAGATACAATTCCCTAAAACGTGAACAGTGACTTAAAAAGAGACACAGGAGCTTTAACACAGCAAAAAAAAAAAAAAAAAGGTTTGAATGGTAAGAGTAATTTGAATGGTAATCTGATTTGAATTGTAAGAGTAAAATTGGAGTAAAGTCCAGCTTCTCACCCAGTGTACTAGTGATCTGCAGGAGACTCTCAGATCTTCGTTTTCTCTTTGCAGGGACGGGACATTCAGTCACTAGAGGACAATTCATTTGAATAAATTAGCATACTGTAAAACTCACTCAGAGATGTTAAATTACACAAGATTCACAAATGTTCCAAAAAGTAGACAAAAAATTGTAAAGTTGATTGCTTGACCATTTTTAATTTTTGAGTGCTTAACTCCATGTATTGGTAAGTAAATAAATAAATACAATAAAAATAAAAATAAATAAACAATAGGACAAACAAAATAGAAAAAAATACAAATTAAATAAGTTTCTCAGGTACAGTGGCCTAGGTTTATTTAACATGTTTTAAGAAATACTACAGAAATGGAATAACCAAATGTAAAAATAAAACGCTCTATAGTCTTCATTGTAGGAATTACATATAAAATGACACATAATAAAGATACAAAAGTGATTGGTTGATTTATACATTGATGTAACAGATGGCAACAGTTTATTAGGCTGTCCGTTTAAGAACGAATGCATGGATCTACATTTACATTTAGTAATTTAGCAGATGCTTTTATCCAAAGCGACTTACAAAAGAGGACAATAAAAGAAGTCAAAACTAACAAAAGAGCAACAGTATATAAGTACAAATGACTCGGTTAGCCTAACGCAGTACACGTAGCAAGGTGTATATATATATATATATATATATATATATATATATATTA